ACTGTGAACAAAGGCACATACAAGTTTAAAAACTGCACACACAAAGAAGAGTCAAACATTTTCAAATACAGAAAAAAAAACACTTTAAAAACAAAACTCAAATATCTATCAGCCAAACTGAAACAGTAATTTCTGAAACTGCAGAGTTGCTAAAATTGTTTCCTGAGACCATATCTGTGATCCAGCTTTAGTTTCAGGCACAGCAGAAACTCTCCTAAGCAAATATTACATGCAAAACACACAGAAACACACGCACACACACGGAACAAGTGCACAAACAAATCTATGTAAAATGAGAGCTGGCGCTTCCTTGTCGCCGTTCATCACGAGACACAATGTTTAACCAGCAAGTTTCAGTGAAACACGACACCATGTTTCTGACCGACACATCCACAATCAGAAAGCAGCAGAGCATGGTACTTTTATAAAATGTAGACACATTATTTTAACCTAAACATTGTAAAAGATATAAGTGTAAAACAGCCATTTTGTTAAAATAAAGCATAAAGATCTGTACAAAATCTTCATCTCGGAGTCTTTCAGAGGGGTTCAACTTGTAGTTTCAGACAGCAACACAAAACAAACACAACACACATTTACTCTATAAAGCATTTCATTTCAGAGCTGTTCAAACATAGTCTCTTTTGTCGTAGCCTGCACCTGCGCTCACACTGCGTGGGGCGGAGTAGGCCATTCGAGGTGGTTTGTACTTCTCCTCCTTTGGTGGGCAGCGGCTGCACAGCATGGCCCCTCCAATCAGGAACAGACCGGCTGCTCCCCAGCCGATGTAGAGCGATGCTCCTATCTCCCTCCTCTGAGCGTCGGTCAGGATTGGATTGTAGAAATCCCGAATGATGGTGTTAGCCGACCAGCAGACAGGGATGAGAACCAAAACGCCGGCGAGGATGAAGAAGATCCCAGAGATGATCATCACTTTGGCCTTGGACGCTTCGTCCTCGATGCAGTTGGTGCACTTTGCTCCGACGATGGAGATCAGGACTCCCAGAATGCCCAGGATGATGGAAATGACTGTCATGGCTCTGGCAGCCTGCAGGTCCTGAGGTAGAGCCAGCATGGAGTCATAAATCTTGCACTGCATCTGCCCTGTGCTCTGGGTGATACAGTTCATCCACAGACCCTCCCAGATGACCTGAGCAGTGACGATGTTGGCCCCGATGAAGGCCGTCACCTTCCACATCGGCAGAGCACATGTTATTATTGCACAGATAAATCCAATAAATCCAAAGACAATGCCCATCAGCTCCAAACCCATCGACATGTTRACCTTTGAGAAAATTCAAATGTTGAGATAAAAAAAAAAGAGACAAGTTTATCAGAGCACAACAAAGGCTCTCCTGCTCCGTTGTCTGGTTGTTGATGTGAAACACCTGCCAGGCTGTGCTGTAGGTGAGGCAGCAGGAGCTTTATACCACAGGGAGACAGAAAGGAGGAGCTCTGATGATGTCAGCAGGAGGCTGGTTTTACACACAAAGACACAACACCTGTACAGGTATAGAGGAGAAAATGAGCTGGTGTGTGTGTGTGTGTGTGTGCACAAGGTGTCGGTAAATTGACTTCCAAGAAAAATCCACTCTAAAGCAGAACTTCTGTTTTCTCCACAGAATTGTTTCTGATCATCTTTGGAGAATTAACTGTTTCTGATGTTTGTATAAAGTAAAAAAAAAAAGAATTTAAATGAGATCAGAGCAAAAAACAAAAAATAAAAATAAAACTAATAAAAAAACACTGATCTTTTCTGTTGAAAAGAGTAATAATGTTCTTCTATAAGCTGAAAAAAACCCATCTTTTACCCAGAAATGCTGACTCACCAATAGAAGGTAAACATGGGAGGGAAGAGCAATTGTTGCTTCTGCTTTCAGACTGCTCAGAAGTCTCTGTTATGAGAAAGTTTTAGGACTTATGATTCAATTCAATTCAATTTGGTTTTTCAATTC